CCGATCGAAATTGACACCACGCTAGTGCATAGATTAGAGCGCAAGACATGGACTCAGAGTAGCAGGAGAGCAGGAGGTTGCATTTTGAAGGTCTTCGCGGTAAAGTGTGCTTGTGGCTGTGCATAGCTCCTATGTGTCAGTCACACTTCCACGTGGGCAGTCACGCCGTGTTGAACTCGCTCCGGAGTCCGAGTCCCAACCAAAAACTATGTACTTCTCCCTCCAAGTCCCGCCGATGTTTTCCCCGAACCGAGGGTCCCGGCGAATCTCGGAAGTCACGCAGGAGTCTTCTAGAACCCTAGTGGCATAGCCTAGCATGCCTCTCTGCGAACTCCACCGGGCGAGCGGCTTTATCTGGTTTCTCGCGTTTCGCAGTCTCTTCAGGTGTCGCCCTTTTTTTGCAACGGCCGTCCAAATCTGCAACGCGCAGAGCATCAGCAACCAACCCAACATTTCCTTGCATCCTGGCTGTCCTGCCAAATCCTTTGATATCTTGGAGGCAGACCGCTTGCTCGATAGCTTGCGGGTACCTATGTCTTCTCGAAGCACGTCCAGTCATCCACCGCCTTTTGACGCGCAGTCCCACTGCTCGGGCACCTCCACTATCCAGAAAAATCTCAAGCATGCTGTCGATCTTACGCAAGGCGCTCAAATTGAACGCCGACTCCAAAATTGGCGCCAGTTTAGCGCCTGCGGTCCCACTTCTCACCGTGTCGCAAGAGATGGGTGCCCCTTGGACACACGCTGTTCTCCCGCGATCCCTCTTCACCTGAACGCGTCCGACTCAGTCAAGCAACTGGTTTTCCTGATTCAATTTTGCTTCCGTTTGGACTTCGGACTCCGGAGCCGATCTTGCATGCACAGCACCCGTACCCAATCAGATTTCTTATCACAGCGCAGAAAGCTCTTCACAGCAGCAGTAACAGCTCTCCGCAAGACTCCGCCGCATCGCATTCGGACATAGAATCTGAGTCATTCCCACGCGCAGAGTATATACATCTGCATCAGGCGGCGCTTCTGCTTGACTTGGACTCAACCTTAACATCGATTGAAGGCTACTGCAATGAATAACTGGGGAAATCCGTGGCAAGCACCCGCATTCTACCAGCAGCCTCACCCAGCGGGGTTTGCACCTCAGCAACACGCATTCCCGGGGTACTGGGGACAGCCCGGCGCATGGGCGCCTCCAAACCCCAATTCCAATGCTGGTGCGCGACATTTGCTCCCCCGACGGATGCCCACTGACGAGTCGTTTTCTTGCAGGGTATTCGGGGTTCTCCGCGAAGTACCCCACCCTGAACCCGATCCTTGCGTCCGATGTGACGCAGGTGCGCTACGATGTCCGTAAAAAGGCGCGCACCGAGATCCCGCCGCCAATATATATGCCGAACTACAAGGTGTTCGCAACCGCGAGCTCGGCGGCCCACGTTCGCCTCATATCCAAGGCGTTCCCGTGGTCGATCGACGTAATGTCGAACACACCGGTAACGTGTGAGGCCGTTTGGGATGCGCTCTACACTGCTGTGAGTCTTGTGCTTTCATCGCCCCTCTTGCACAGAACTGATAACCCTGTTGCAGCTTCAACAGCACATCGCTGATTCAGAGTGGGGGATGCTCGTGAACACTGACAAGAAGCTGCGCGAGGCCATTGAGAAGGCGGCGAGGAAGCGCGCTGAATCAGACGGCGACACGAAGCTGAAGCGCATCGATTGGCTGGGGTCGAATACGATCTTTAAAGGCCTGGACAAGATGGAGGAGTTTACAGAGCTGCGGCTATTGCCTGGCGAGGAGACTTGCCTCGAGACCTGGGTGGTTAAGCTCGGGTCGTCTTGAGGAAAGGACTCTCACGAATTAATATGTATCACTGTATCTGTCGTTTATTTCTGGGCTTGTATAAAGAAAGGACACTTGTGCCGCGTTAAGTTTCGAGGGAGAAGCTTAAAGTTGATGTTTGTATCTCTCGGAGGGCAACGAACTTGCGGCCCGCTCAGCATTTTTTTCCAGCCTGCTTTAAGCGCTTCACAATGGTTTCCTTCACGTCAGTCCCCCGCAGCACCCAAGCCTCCGACCGAGCTCATATTCTTATTCCAGATGCCATGCCTGCCAGGACACTGTTAAAAAACCAAAGCTCGACCAGCACTACAACAGATGCTACGCGGGCTTCGACTGCATCGACTGCTCCACGACGTTCAACACCCCCGCCGAATACAAGGGCCACACGCAGTGCATCAGCGAGGCCGAAAAGTATGAAAAGAGCGTGTACAAGGGCCCCAAGACTGTAGGTGCTTTGCTGCGATGCGGAAACGAAATAGTTTGATGTAGCATTGAAGGCAGCGAATGGGAAGAGCAGCTACCCGCCACGGCCGGCGGCCCCGGCCCCAGCGGTCGCGGTGCGGAATTGGACGGCGGGCGGGCGTGGTGGTAGGGGAGGCGGCTGGGGCGCGCCACGCACGTCGGCGACTGGGGCGAATGATACGCCGTTAGGAACGCCGACGCGGACGTCGCCTATGCCTTCGCCACTTGCGGAGGCTTCCCCGGCTCCGGCCGTCGTTGTTCCACAAAAAGCTGCGGCCGCGCCCGCCCCAGCTCCCGCTTACATTGAGAAAAACGAGGAGAAAATCTTGGAGAAGAGGCTGGAGAAGAAGGAGAGGAAGGATAAAGAGAAGCAGGAGAGAAAGGAAAAGAAAGAGAAGAAGAGGGAGAAAAAAGCAGCGGCCGCAGAACTGGTAACGTCGCGGAATAACTTCCTCCGTCCATATCTGACCGTAATGATAGGCTGCTGCATCGTCCGCCACACCCGAACTGGGCACGCCGGACGCATCTGGAACACCCAAAAAGCGGAAGCGCGACCATAGCGACGCTATGGAGGTCGACACACCGTCAATAGCAGACGCAGAACGCGCCGAGAAGAAACGCAAGAAGGAGAAAAAGGACAAGAAAGCGAAGCAGGCGGCGTCCGAAGAGCCTGCTGCCGACGCGATGGAGGTCGACGCAGCCCCCTCGGAAAAGAAGAAGAAGAAAAAGGACAAGAACGGCGGCGATGGAGAATTTAAAGCGATGGATATCGAGGTACCCTCAATACCTAACGACGACCAGGTAGAAAAGAAACGGAAGAAAGACAAAAAGGGGAAGGGCGACGCGGCGGCCGAGCCCTCTGAGGATGCCACTACAGAGAAAGAGAAGAAACGGAAGGAGAAGAAAGCGAAAAAGTCCAAGTCAACGGCCGAGGTCGCGACTTGATTTTGTTTTCTTTCTCTCGCGAGTCGCTTTCGTTTCTGTTTTTATTCGTAATGGCACAGCATGTTTTCTAAGTAAATCGGTCTTCATACAGATACATTTGCTCGTTGGACTCGGGGTATATAATCCACGCCCCAGCGCGCATTCAGAACGACGTCGTCGAATCGACCTCGATTGTCGGCACGATAGACGCGATGAATTTGAGGAACACGACAAGGTAGAAGTCGACCCGCATGCCCTCAACCTCCTCGTCATCAGCGGCGGCAGCCTTGTCGTCCTTGCCGTTGCCGCTGGCCTTGCGGCCGAACCACTTCTTCTTGCCGTCCTTCGAGGTCGACTTGGTGCGCTGCGCAAGCTGCTCCTCGACAACGCTGTTGTTCATGCGCTCGATGACCTTCTTCATGACGCTCGCGTGTTTGCAAGGGTGAACGGACGCAGCCTGCAGCGACGCAGAGTGCGGGAACCCTTCAATGGTAACGGTCTTGAATGCATGGTCGGCTGATACGTCTTGGAAGATTTGGGGCGGCGTTAGAGGTGTGCGATTCTTGAAAGGAAGTTAGGGACGGCGAAAGCCTGCGGCGAGAGAGAATCTGACCTCATCGTAGCCAATCAGCCAGATGCGAGGAGTCTGGTAGTACTTGTCGTAGGTTATCATGACATCGTACGTTCGCACTTGGAGGAGATTTCCGTTGGCGACTTCCACTTGGCTGCAAAGGATTGAGTGACTTGTTCGGGTGGGACACGGGAAATGGTTCCAACCTAGCGTCAATAACACCGGCCTTGGGCGCAGCAGTGGCTTCGTCCTCTTCCTCCTCCAGACCCTCTTCCTCCATATCAGGAATATCGTCCATATCGGGGATCTCCCCAGCACCGCCCAACGAGAGCGCACCCACACCCTCGGTCACTGAGTCTTCAGGCGCATCTACGTCGGGAATGTCGTCGATGGTACCAGGGTTGGCGGAGTCCAAGTTCGCCTTGCGGCCAGCGTGAGTCTCGACCCAATCGTCAGCCCCGGTAGAGTCGCCGCCGAACGATAGTAGCCGTTCAGCATCCTCGTCGGCGTCTGTGTACGCAAGAGAAGTGGCGCGACGGAGGCAAGGCACTCCCCGTGTAACAAGATACTGCTTGTCCGCTGGGAGATAGTCTTTGGACTTGGACGAGTCGCCCGCTTCCCTGATGCGCGTATGATAGCATGAGTCGCGGTTGCCTCGTGCATAAGTGCCACTGACCAAGTCCAGACTGGGAACTTGTAGGCAAGAAAGTCGCCTGCGGCCACAAACTCCTCTGCGACGGGTCAAGAGGAGGATTCATTAGATGGATTCAAACGAACCAGGGGTAATACGACCGTGTTCTTTGAACTTGCTCTCTTTAAGAACCTGAGCACGATTAATGGACGATAAACGGTGCAGTGGCGCGACGGCTGCCTACAGGGCTCAGGTATTCCCGAACGGACCAGTAATGTTGCTGCAATAGACGTGTAAGTAAGGAATACAGGAAACCTCAAAGACGCTGACCTGTATTGCGTGCATTGGAGTGGAAGAGGAAGGAGTCCAAATCGGATGTGATTTCAATTGTTGTTCGGCAAACCATAACAACCCGATTCTTGCTTCACAAAATAAAGGGGCTTGAACAATTGATTGGCACCGTTCAAATGCGCGTCCTTCTTTCCTCCCGCCTCAATTATTCCTCCACCTTCGGAGGGTCTCCCTACCTCCTTCCACTGCTCCCACAGTATGACCTCGCTGGTTTAAGGAGCTAACATCGGTCCGATGGTGTAGTTGGTTTATCACTTCTGTCTAACAATTTCAGTATTGTTCACAGGCGGTCCTCAGTTCGAACCTGGGTCGGATCACTTTTTGCCTTTTGAACCTCCCAAGGCTTGCTATGCTGTCTTTTCCTCCGAGAGGAAGCTGGTTTGTGCCATCAATTTGAACTTCGATCGTCTGCGTTGCGGCCTGCGTCGATTATGCAACTGCTTGCCGGCGGTCACCAGTTCGAACCTGGCTTCACTCCCTTTCTGCCCTTTGAACCTTGCAGCGCTTTTTTTTTCTGGCGTGAGGAGCTTCAAGCTTCGAAGGCTCTACATATTGAACTCAGGTAGGGTTTTTTGCGACCCGAGATCACCAGCATTTCTAGGTGGGACTCGGAGGCGCTCGCTGACATCTCTGTGGGCCCCCTTTCGCATCCCAAACCTGTTGCATTCCAGCCACCTTGTAGGTAGATACTGTCTTATTCCACCTAGGCTGCTTGAAGGAGCGGCAGTGGCTCTGATAAGTTTGTTTTTCCTCAGTAGAAGCTAAGAGATAACCAGGATTGCCTTGCTTTCATCCTGCCTTATCAAGCATCTGCTTCAAATCGAAAATAATTTCGTTTTGCATAATAATCCAGTGTCGAGTATAGATAGATCCACCCCTCTATAGCTTCAAGCGGATTCTTAGATCGTGTATCTGGATCGAGACAGTCAGCTCTTCACCCTACAAGTGTTGCGCGTCAATACATACCGGAACAGCGGGCTCTCGCTCCCCATGTCCCTGAACTCTGCGCGCCGGCTCGCGTCGATGCCCTCGCGCGCACAATACTCGTCCCGCTTCTTGTTGATGCGCTTGTAGTCCCACATCGCGAAGCAGCTCAGGATGATGCTGTGTCCGACCATCAGCATTTTCGTGGTAAAAGCAGGAGAGTAAGACGACGTACGAGAGACTCAACCAGCCCATGATCGTGCCGTGACCGATATGGAAGAATGGCGGCGTGATATAGATGAACGAGGAACAGATCCTGCCGCGTAGCGCGTCAGTTGTTTGCATGAAAGATAGCGAGTACACTCACCCGCCGAGGTTTCCTAGTCCGATAACCATGGCTATGACAACACCTACACCAGACTCGGAGCTGAGAGAGGCAAGAGGAATGAACGCCTTAGAAACGCACCCCTTCTAACGTCGCCGCCCGCGATACTGCCTGCCCAAGCAAGATCTGGATGCGTCTTCAGCATTGTACACCTAGTAGCCCAATTCCACCTTACCGACTGCGATGGTGGGGTACACACCGACGGCGGAGAGCACTGCGCCAGCATACCCAGCACCGGGCGATTTCGTCGTGTACAGCACAATGTACCTCAGAGACATGAGAACGCGTCGGGTCTCCGAGAAAAGATTGATTACCCTACAAGAGCGACCAGGGAAGAGCCAATGATGAAGGGCCCGCGCAGATTGTACTTATCAGAAAGGAATCCGATAAGTATGGTGGCAACGCAGCCGGCTGCGAAAGAAGTATTCAGGGAGACTTTTCTTTTCTGCTCGTGGATTACGTGCCAGCAAAGGGTGGGATAGTTAAGAGCTGCGCTTGCGCGGCAGTGAATCCGAGCTCTTGGATGATCGTCGGTGTGAAGAGCTGAACGATGTTCAAGTGTGGGAATAACAAGTAGAAGGAATAAGCTTACCGCAATCGCGTAGACAGGGATGAGGAGCCTAAAGAAGGTTAGGGAAAGATCGAGCAGACGCCAGGATATTACCCCATATATATTCCAATCTGCACGTAGGTCTGATAGTCCTTCATCGCCTGCCACACGAATTTCCTATCATAATGCGTTGCGAGGTCCTGGGAATCCTCTTTCAGCAGATATACTATCTGCTCGCGTTCTGTCTCTGAAAGAAATCCGGCGGTTTCGGGATACTACGTGAAGTTGAGGCGGATCATGGACAACGCAGAATGAAATCGACGTACATCATGCATGTAGAAATACGATGCCGCAGCCACTGTTACAAAATCAGCTTAGCAGTGAGGTATCTTTGAGGTTTCTGCTACCGATCATTGTGACTAGAATGCTATCAATTACTCGGCACACGAAAAAGAACGTCGGATTTACCGAGCCCTTCGAGACAGAACTGCAATTCGCTATTAGCATAGGAAGGACAGAGGCATAATACCGCTCACAATCCATTGCCAGCCATGTAGGCCGCCAATTCCTTCCATTTTTTCTATGGCATATCTGAATACACGTCAGTACCGGGAACTCCGCATCAGCTGAAATTGCGGACGCGAGGATTCCGCCGAATGCACCTTCGTGCATGCTGTCAGTTGCAGACACTCCCTGGCGGTATGGAGCTCACCGGCAACGGTGGCGGCAGAGAAAAATATCGCCACGCGAGAGGCCACATCGCGCCTCCGATACCATAAAGACAGGTAGAAGGTGATCTGCAATTCAGAATTAGACAGATTGAAGTGGTTCATGTTAAGGCTTACCCCTGGGAAGAGACCCGCTTCCGCTAGGCCGAGAAAAATTCGTGCGCTAAGGTGGTGTAAGCGGCGTAAAACCAAAAATGTCAGACGCACATTATAAGGTCGTGATAGGTGTTGCAGAGACACATCAAGGTCATAACAAGGCCTGGTAGACCTAAGCCAGCGGACAAGCGAGAAGTCATATTACAAACCCCATGCTAGCATGATAGACGGAACTTGGAAAAAGTCAGAATTGCGAATGAGGGGAGAACAAGGCATTTACTCCATCGCGAGGGCCTGACGAGTTTAAGGGCGATATTTCTGTGATCATATTCTGGTCAACGATGTTGGGGCTGATAGATATCTGTGGCGTACGAAGGAACCTCCGCCAACGCGTAGGGAATCTACCAAAATCAAGGGACAGAAACGTCAGAAAATTGAGCAACTTACGAAGAAGACGGCTGCGATCTGGAGCGCCCTAGTCAGGACCGTTCGTTGGGATAAGTGCAGCTACATACAGTGTTATAGCGAAGGCCGGTCAAACCGGCGTCCTTCGCCATACCTGGATCGCCACTGAGCAAATGGATTCACCCGGACGAGATGGCTACCAACCAGCAATCTTTGCATTTCCCTGAGGTCGCGTCGTCAGCATCATTGTTCAAAGTGAGTCACAACGAAACGCACAATATTTGCCCTGTCTCTGTCCATCCACGCCTTTGAGCACAGCTCCACGCAGCGAGTAAGTTTGGACGCACAAGAAAGACAACAAATATAGCAGCGAGACGAATGGGAGCAAGTGGACATCGAGCTTGCGCAAAATCTTCGCGTGTGCAGCCTCGCTGAGCGCGACTTGACCCTCTTTGTTCGGCACAGCGATATCCTCGTCAAACGATGCCTTTTCCGCCTTTTCCGCGCTGGGGACTGCTGACATGGTGGGAGTAGGAAACAAGCCGGCGGGAGACTAAACCGTTTTCCCCCAAATGCATTTCACGCGTCAGCCGAAATGATGCGTCAAAACGCGGTCCGCAAATAGACAGCGGCTAAGCCCGATCAAGACCGAGGCTGACTAATCCCGATTCCCGACAGCGTCGACGCTGGTCAAGAGTTTACAGCTTAGCAAGCTTAGGGTCTGTATTTTAATCCGGTTTATAAACCAGTGTTTGAACTTTGCAAACCGGTTTTTGAATGGTCAGACTCAAACTCAGGCCCTAAACTTCAAGCTCGACCGTCGGGTTGATTATATGCTCCGACTTGCTAGGGTTACTGTACATTAATGGTACATTATACGACTGATAGTAGTGATTTGATTCGCAGCAACCTAACCCGGAACGCCAAAAGTCCTTTTCTTGCCCCGCCCGCGTTTACTCCCGCTCCCCGACGTGCTTCTCGAACCCTTCCCCCGCTTAGCAGTCCCGCGAGTGCTCGACGACCGCCTGGGCGCGCCGGAACCTTCTGAGGTACAAGCTGTTTTCATATATCTTCAGTAGGCAGATGGAGGGAGAGAGAAAAATCGACATGCCGTTCGAAAAGTGGCCTTCTTCCCCGCATTTGAAGCAGGACTGCCCTGCCCCAGCCGATTTCGTTCTAGGTCTACTCCCACCAGTGGTCGGACAGTCTGTTCGGATGTTGTTAGACCGATATATGCCTATGGCGCGGTCTGTACACTCGCCTGCACTGAAGTGGCCCTCTTCGTTGCATTTGTAACAAATACCACTGGCAGTGGGGCCGCCGCGGCCACGGTTCTCAGCCGTTGAGCCAAAAGATCGCGCTCGCTTGCTGGCGGAGCCTTCGCCATTAGGACAAGCTACGACCCGTATTAGCATTTCAACTCGGTACAATGAGCCGAGCACAAACCGTTTGCCCAATGTCCAGATTGATTGCACTGTGAGATGCCCTTTGAATACTGACACATCAAGGGACCGTCGAGACTAACCTTGTAGCAAACGTCCTGGTCTCTTGAACCTCCGGCTTGGGTTCCACCGCCAAAGGATGAGCCCGCACCTCCGTTGTTGACGCGCGGAGGTTCATCATCCCACTCGAAGAATTTGCACTCCGCCCCTTGCACATTGGGGCATTTCCAGAATTTCCGTCCCTGGTTCGGACCCTCCTTCACGACCGTCCTTTGCACCGCCGTCAAGTTACACGTGCACTTGCGCGCTGGTCCACCGCCGTCGACGCCAGAATCTTGTCGCTGGAGATCTCGTCAGTTTGGAGTCCAGCGTCCAAACACGGGCGGGACTTACCGCGGAATAAGAACGTTTCGCCGGAACTGCCCGCGAACCGCTGGCAACGGGAAGGGGGTCGTCGACCCATTTGAAGAACTGGCAACCCCTCGTCTCGCAGGTCCAAAATTTCTTCCCTTTCGTTTCCGATTCCTTCGTCACGGATCTTTGTACAGCAGGGGCATTGCAATTACACCTAATTTCATCGTCCGGCGCCATTGAAGACGCAGTGTGTCGCGGCGGAGGAGGCGGCGGGGGTTGTCGCGCAGGTGGCGCTGCCGCCGCCTGCCATGAGGGCTGCGCGACTTGCCGAACGGGTGGAGGCGGAGGGGGTTGGCGCACAGGTTGCGGGGCCTGCCGGGCGGGAGGTGCAGCCTGGCGAACGGGCGGCGGTGGAGGAGGTGGTTGAGGGTTA